CCCCCTGTTTTGAGAGAAATCTTCTGCATTCGTGGATGTTTTGCTGCCCTTGTCTAGCTTGGATTAATACTTAGTCTATAGGCACAGACTTGATCATCTACTTTACCCTCTTACAGCACTAAACTATATTTTCTACCTTTATCTTGCATCTACCTACCACTTCAGCATTTTATTTAAAATAAATAAATAAGTAAATAAGGGAGAAATGTGGGATTCACATATAAATCAAGTATAAAAATCAAATGAATAATCATATCTGACTTGATTGTTTATAGTTCATGATGTGTAATCAAAACTGAAAGTTTCTCTGTGATATGACTGCCCTTGCACTGTTCACCATGTAAGAACTTGTTTGTTATGCTTTAGAAGATTGGAGACTGTTGATAATAGGCTTGGGGTTGATTAATGATTGTGCATTGACCCCCCTATACTGAATTTTATTGTTGTTAACAACCATTTGATCAATAAATATGAGAGATGCCCTCTCAAAAAATAAAAAATAAAATAAAATAAGTGCATGCAATAAATCCATTATTTTGAACCTAAAAAAAAAAAGTCACAAGGCTGAAAAGCACAGCATATGGAATATAGTCAATAATATAATAATTTTGTAGAAAATTATAATTTTCTATAAAATTGTAATGATTTTGCGTAAAATGCTAAAACATTCTCACATGAAACTTATTTTGGTTCCTGATACTGAAAAATACTTCTTTGAATATTAAGTATTTTCATAAAGACTAAAAACAAGCCAAAGTTAGGACATTCTCTACAATTTGTTAATTTCGAGAATGGTGTCACTAGATAAATACCTGATATTGAAAGGGTTACAAAATGAATATGCTGTTATCTTTGCTTTTATGAAATTGTTTATTTAATAGTCAGATGAAATTATGCTTTTTCCTATAATATAAATTGAGTATAGTCTGGACTGTGATAGCATAACGTTGGTAAATGGGGCATATATCAGGTGATGGCATACTTTTACTGAGTTCATTTCAAGTGATTTATTTGGTAACATCTGCTTACAAGGATCAGTAATATATTTTGGAAATGCTCTTTGCAAATTATAAATAATGAATAAGTTAGGCCCAAGGACGTACTTTCACCTCTTCCCTAGGTTCTCTGTAGACCTAACTTGATCTGGAGAACAGTTTGACTGCTACCAGCTCCTTTTGTGCATCAACACCATATGATCACAGGAAACAAACCACAGACATGCCAGAACATTCCTGGCAGTCTGTACGTTTTGTTTCACAGATCCTACACTGAAAACAATGCACAAACCTTGAGATTACAAATGATCTTACTAACAATTTAAGAGACTTTCAATTTTTGACTTCCTGCCTGCAGGAAGGAAATGACAGTTGGAAGTGTGGAGAACAGGTGTTAGCCTGGACAGCATGATATCTTCTGCTTACTAAAATAAAAAACACTGCATCAACACTCCTACATGGAAGTCAGTTCTAACCACAAGACTCAGTCTTTCACCACAGACCCAGCTTCAGAAGATCAAATCTGTTTCCTACCAGGAAGTTGTTAAACCCAGCATTAAAGAGCAGACCAAGGGACAGAGTTCTTTGAATCTGTCTTGGACAAATCCAAGAAAAGAATTTGGGAATTTGGTTTGAAAATGTCCCCCTCCATGTCCTTCCAATTACTGGCAATGTAATTGCATGGCAGACTTGTCAGGGGACTTAGGAGGGAAAGAATCAGGATTGGTATAAACAGGTTCCAGCTGAAGGGTAGGTGATTTTACACTCCTTCTCATCTCCCTTTGTCTTTGTCCGCAAGTAATGAGTCTGGTGTTCTCACCTTCAAGTGGCTTAATGTTAGCATAATGGCATTCTTTTTCTTTGCTAAGCTAGTTAGTTGCTCTATCCTTCATGAAGAAACCTTCTTTGCCTCCCAATCTGTTCAAGAATTTAGACAGATGACATTTTAGAAGGGCTGAGGACTCTGAAATAATTGAAGGCTATGCCTTGGAATAGACAAATGCCAGACAGTCCTCTCCAGCCTCCTGCACTAATGGTTAGAATCCACTGTAGAATATGCATTCTTGAGGGCCCACGGAACAGAAAAAGTTGGGAAAGATATTTTAGCGCTGGGACATAGAAAGTCTTTGTGAATGCTTGCAAAGAGGTGTAGTCTTTTCCTGACATGCATCGTGAGATTAAGAACTCTGCAATCCCCATGGGCTTTGTCTTTTCTTTCCTATCTAGAGACCTTAAAGAGCCACCGCTATGGAGGAAGGGGATCTAGGAACTGTAATTGGGACCATGCAAGGCAACTGAAGCTCGTGTGCTGAGTGAACCAACAACTGTGTTGGAACATGTAGTACTTGAGTTCTACTTAAAGGGCGGTGTGAGGGACAGCATTCCCTTGGGGAAAAAATGAGTTAGCTATTAGGAAAGCCCCGCACATTCCCCCTGCTGCCCACCACTCCCATTTGTTCCTTCATGCCTTCCACAAATACGTTTTAAGGGCCTATTATGTGCTAGGCACTGTGCTGAGAAGGGATGATGCAAAGATGGAAGCAGATGTTCTCTGCCTTCCAGGGGCTTTTGGAATTTTAGGGGACCCGCGTGTAAACAGCAGAGGAAAAAGTGCTGCAGGAGCCTTGTGAGTGAATACAGAGTGTTCAAAGATGTTTTGACATAAATGAGGAAATGCTCAGCTTCTGCTTGGACAAAGAGAGTAAGGAAAGGTTTCACAGAAGAGAAGACGCTGACACAGGGGCCCTAAAGGTACAGGGTACCCTTTCTCACACTCTCCTGTGAGATCAGAAAAGGCAGTCAAATTCATCACAAAATGCCTATCCAAGAAACAGTTATTCAAGGCTTTCCCCTGTCTTCAGCTTGCCTTTTGGCTCTTTCACTGCTCTGTAGTACTGCCATTAAAGGGATACATGGAATGTGCTTAATTTTGTTTCTGCTGAGAAGTGAGGGAAAACAAATTGGTGGAGGGAAAATGAAAAGAGCAGGATGCATAACTTTTTATTGATCTGGAATTACTTTGTTTAATTAACTTTTACTAGTCTAAAATTGTCTTCTAATTTTTATGCTTGTGAAATGCTACAAGCAAGCGAGTAACAAATAAAAGATGAAACCTCCTCCACCCGCAACCACCCATCCTATACCCCCGGGATGGCACTGTTAACAGTTTGATGAGTATCATTCTGGATTTTTAATTTATATTTAAATCTACAACTAAAATATTTTAAAATAAAAATGAGACTGTGCCACCCATACTGTTATTCCATAGCATCTGCAACTTGCTTCTCTCTCCTACCCTCTTCCCAACTCACTGTATTGTGAATATTCTTAGAACTATTTTTCAAGGAAAATGTCATTATATGATATAGAGAAGATTGCTTTTTCCGTTCATTATTCTCAAAGCCCTTTTGGTTGCAAAAAACAAAGATCCCATTTTTTAAGAATACATATGACCTGGTAAGTTCAATAACTGAGGGACTGGTCTTTTTAGGTGGGCTTGCATATCTCTGTTCCAGTTGTCTCACTCTCTGGACTGGCTTCCTTATTCTACTAGCTCTTTTATTCCCCCACTCTTTTATTCTCTCACTATTTGGCTTCCAGTTTTTCATCCATCCATCCATCGATTTATTCATCAGAGAGTTAGTGTTGACAACGTGCCAAGGATGGTTCTGGTACATACAGTTTGGGTTGCTCTAATTCTGACTTAAAATCATAGCTTCCTTTAATCCAATTATCAAATTCCTCCCATGTTTTTTAGTTCAAATTCCTAAGGATGAGAAAGTGATTGACCCAGTTTATGCCAGGTCATACTTAGATGGCTGGACCTTCTGTGCCCAGTGCCTGTTCATCCAAATGTGGCTGGAGAAGGGGGATGGAGCCCTGTGGGCAGAAGAGCCCTTCCCAACCTTCCCCTGCCCAACTCACTCCATAAATGTGCATCTGTGTCATCTCCCAACCAGAATGTAAGTCAGTAAGGACAATGTCTCTACTATGATGTGCACACATTAAGTGTTCAGTGAACAATGTTACACAATCATTCATTCCTTACATGGGATTGGGAAAGCTGGGGGCAGAGGTCAAGAATCACAATCTGCCTCCCACTCAAAGCACAGCTTGTTATCAGAGCATTCCATGTGGTGGAGAACAGCAGGTAGCAGCATGTGAGAGTGAACATCACATGAATGTTGTCCTTGAAGGTAAAGGTGAAGAGAGATAAGGAGAAAATTGTAGGTGAAAAATACAAAGTGAATTTCAGTTTTACATGGATATAAAAATTGAGCATTTTAAATTGGAATTACAGACGTGGGTAAGAGTCCTGATCCCTGGAGCCAGTCTGTTTTTCCTCAACAATTGTCTTCAAATGCTCAGGCCACAATTTTTATTAATACACAATGTTTGTAGAAGCAATTATACTACAGCATAGCTGATGACTCAAGGCAAATGGTTAGGAGGTCAGAATATAATTTGTATCTTGTACCTTTTAAATAGATACTTTTTCAGGATGATATAGAGAACTGATGTTGATTATATATTAGAAATGGTTGGTGGCAGAACCATTGCTCAAATGGTTTTCTGACCCATCCTTTCATACTCTTGTCACTGTTCTTCTAAATTTCTCCTTTCATTTGAGAGGACTTCGGTTAAACTTCAGCAGATTTAAAATTTGAGGTCATATAAAATAATCAGTCAGCTGAAGAAACTGGCTGAATTCTCCTGTAGTGGGAGGGCAGGAGGTGTTAATCCTCAGAGCCATCACCAGAATCGTAGATGCATCTGGAGCGCGGCAGGGCCCCTTCTGCAGAGGACCTGGGGGATAGGTGCCTAGAGTAGCATTGGCTTGCTTTAGTGTGGCAGCAGGCACAGGGGAGGCCACCTATAGAAGCAGGCTCGTGGCAGGGATTCAGTCTGTGTCTCGCTGCAGTGCTCTCTCCAGCATGGCACCTTCACTGGGGTAGCCGAGCTCTCAGCCCCTGCCACAGCTCCTTTGTGGTGTCCAGCTGGCTTCCTTGCCTTCAGGTTGATGCAGCTCCTGTCCTGCAAACCAGCATTCACTCTTCTTTCCAGTGGTCAAATGACATCTCTGTTCAGAAAATGTGCTTTTCCACTGCCCCCAACCCCACTCTACCCTCTACAAACCTGCCCCAAACACACACCCCAGTCCTGGAACATTCACATTCTGACCCCAGCTAATTCTCCTGCCACCACCTTCCCTGATTTCCTGCCCTGCCGCACCTGACTCATTACAGCTCCAGCCTCCTTACTTCCTTTTTCTGCTTAAAATGTCACTAACATCCGTCATCCGTTCTCCTCTTCCTTATCTTTCCCTCCCCTTCCCACAGCCCAAAGAGGAAGTTCTCCTCTGTGTTACCATAGCATTGAGGTTATACTTCTGAGTTCAGTTATTTTTTGTTATTTACAGATTTGTTTCCTCCATTGGACTGAGAGCATTTCAGGGCAGGAACCTGCTGTCACTTATTCATCTTCACACACCAACACCCCAGCACCTAGCAAAGTGCTCATTGCAGGTACTCAAAGTGGTTTTTGAAGGAAGGATATTCATGGAGGCAATTGTTGTCTTTTAAATATTTGATAAGCTTTTGGACTAGATATAGATAACTCTTAGTATTAATCCTGATAACAGGTTTCTGATATGACCATGTTTGTTTCCTGACCAACAAAATAAACGTTAAATCTGTGTTACATAGCAATTAATGTGCAGGAACAAATACATATTTCAAGCACCAGGAAGAAGTTTGGTTAGGAAATTGGCGGAGTGAATCCAAACTCCCCTTTCAAGCACTTGGAAGAAAAATGAGGGATAGTTTTCCAAAATGAAGATGCAGGTTTTGGATATCTGTTTTTGCCTGAATTTGCTTAGATATAAAAATAGGACATGGAATTTACTCTATTCTTCCCCTTTAACTCAAAATTATATTATTCCAATAGCTCTACGTAACAAGTGTTAAATTTTACATAAACGTTTTTTTGTGCTCAGATTAGCAGTAAAGGCTACTTTAAAAGGCCTGCTTTTATCATTGCTCCAAAGCATGTTCTGAAGTTTATTTGACTTATCATAACAGATGGGCAGACACATTAGGTGACCACTTCCACAGCTGCTGTTTCTTTAAGAGACCTCGGTTGTTAAGTTGGGAGATCATTGAACCATATGAGGGTCAATAAAAGAATAAAAAGCCACTGGTTAGTTATATGAGTACAAGGAACTTGATCCTACTTCAGTTATCTATGTCCATATTCTGCTCATAATCCAAGCAGGAGCAGCTTGCATGCACTCGGGATGGCTTCTGGAAAACTAATCAAATTTCTGGTTTTTGAGCTTCTTGAATTTGCTGCTTTCTCCATTCCCACGCTTGTGATTGTGGAGCAGTTTGCCACTGCCTATCAAAGTACAAGGAATAAAGATGAGAAAATGCACTATTGGCTAATTGTTTCCTGTTCAATTGCTTACGTGGCTTCAGTGACTCTATTGATTTGGGTTCCCATGAAAGTTCTGTTAAAAAAGAAACGTCATCTTTACAAAAAAATTAAAGGATGGTAAGTAAAATAATTGTCTAACAGTAAATCCCTGTGATACTTTCAGAGATTCTTTTTCATGTACTATGTGTTAGGATGTGAGCATAGCATAAATGTATATAATGTGAGATTAATGAGAAATAATTACCACCATTTCTATAAATGCAGTGTTATTATGGTATGTTCCATATTTTTTGTAGGGTCATTTCTACAGACTGATATTAACAAATTACATGTATTCATAAGATTGTAGTTAGCATGAGTCCATGATACCCTGAGTAGTAAATGTTGGACCAAATTCCTCTGTCCACTAAACTGCGTAAAGTTATCACAGTTAATTTACAGAAGTCATAATATCAATTATAACATATAATTTTATACTTTTGTGTATAAACCAGAAGTTGTCTGTTTTAAAATGTTTACATTGCATTGTTTTGCAGGTCTAAGGCATTAGATCATTAACCAACTGAGATTTAAGCAACAAGCTCCTTACCTTTAAAAAATATATACTATGTTAGCAAATTCTATTACCATGGTGGGGGAGAAGTACTTTAATAATAATACAAGTATTTTAAATAAATTAAGATTTAATGTTGATTTAAATGACAGTTTAGCTAATGACTGTATTGATCCATGTCGAGATACTGAGAACAAATAATCTCTGATACTAATGTATTTTTCCTCTTAGATCTTCAGGTCTGATTCTTGCTTATCTGGGATTTCTTTCATTTCTTTGATAAATTAATCTTTCTCTCATACTGTTCTTGTAAAGTTGAACAACATAGAACACATTTGAAAAGCGAGGAGCTGGGAATTTTAACATAAGCAAGGGCAAAAATGTAAAAATTATAGAAATAGCAATATAGCTAGAAATACCGTTAAGAGGATGCAGGAATGGAGACCTAAAGCACACTTTAGGTACTGACTGGGGGTGTAGCTCCATAAACCTCGCCACAGGACTTTTAGTTCCCTGAGGGTAGAGCTCTTGAGGGGTTTCTGGAAATGACTTCTTTGGCACTGCTTTTACCAGTAGTATGTAGGGATTTTCTAAACCATGACCCAAAACCTGAGGATCACCTAAGGGGCGGGTCTGGAGCTGAGCTGGGCTCTCCATCTCTTGCACCCACTTGGATTTGCTTTGACTGTGTAAGACTCAAGGCTGGGTTAGGGAGCTTTGAGGGAATGGTGGAAAATCCACATGACTGCAGCAGTAAACCAATGGCAAGCTGGTCCACGCCATCCCTGGAAGCTGCTCTTTGATATTTTTTTTTGCATTGGTTCAAATGCCTAAGTTCTGAATATCATTCTGGCAGCAAAACTTCCCTTATCACTTACCATCATCATCATCATCAAGCTATAATTGCTTCCTTACTGATCACTTGTATGCTGACAAATGTATAGATGAATTTCATTTCACTCTTTACCACCTCGTGAAGTAGACATTTTCAAGTTTATTATTCCCAAGAGAAAGCTAATGATAAGAGAGTCACACAACTTTACCAACCAGTTAACTAATGAGTAGAAGGCCCAGACTTTGGACCTAGGTCCATCTGATTCTGTAGTTGGTACTTCCAACAACTACCCTAAACTGCCCCTTTGAAATAAGAGGTTCCAATCTCCTGAGGTATTTGAGAGGGAGGAAGAGGGTAGTCTTTCTTTCCTACTCACTCCCCCCAGCCCTGAGCACATGTTTCCTCTGAGCCATGACATGTCAGGAATCCTGGGCAGTGAGGACTTTAAAAGACACCAACATTTTGGCCTACATTTTGCCTTTGTCCTGGGCTGTTAAAACAATGACATCATTCAGTGATTTCTTCTGGAAAGTGCCCTTCTGGCCTTTAGTTTCTGTTTGTGGGTGTGGCTGGCCACAAGAGTTTTAAATAATTTTAGATATAGGACAGGTTATCTATAATTTCAGTGAAACTGAAACTTTTTCCTCAAGGCCTCATTCATGAGCACTATCATATTGTTATCTCTTACTGACCCTAAAGAAAAGAAATAGTTACTGAGCAGTATTATAGAAGCTTTACACATTCTGTCCTATTATACTTAGACTTTATAACCAGAGAGGTGTGTGCTAGTATTCTTAGTTTATAGATGAAGAAATAGAAACTTGACAAAATGATTAACTTGGTCAAGTGACGAAACTCTTAAGTGGTGGAGTTGGGATTTGTGAGCCCAGATCCATCTGATTCTGTGCTGTTTTCTCTATGGCATGCAGCTTTTCTTTTATTCTTTCTGACTTTGACTGCCAGGTGTTGTTTGCATGAAAATTACAACCCTTTATTGTTATAAAGATATATTTTCTCCAAAGATAGATGTTTGGATATTATATATGATTCCCAAAGATGTGTATTTGGATATTTTAATATATGTGGGACTATAGAGTATGTCATGTATCTTAATTGCTAGATGAAGATGGTGCAAAAACAATGCTACTATATAAAGTCCAGATTGAAAGTATGAGTTATTATTGAAGAACACTTAGATGAGTAGTTGTCTATGTGAAATTTCATAGATCCTTAGCATTCACAGATGCACTGTTGATGAGCCTGTTTGAGAACCTCCCTGTAGGTCTGTCCACTTGACATCGTTAGCCTTGTGAGGCTGGTATTCAGCAGAGAGCAAGCCATTGGCTAGTGAAGGTGTGCCCTGGCATTACAGCTGAGGGATGCAGACCTGAGTTCAAATTATAGCTTCGACACTGGCTGTGAGACATTGTATGAGCTATTTAAATTCTTTGAATTTTAGTTTTCCCGTGAGCAACACAAGGACACCCTAGTTTCTTCATTAGAGTGTTGTTTTAAGGAACTGAATAAGATTACACATATAAAGGTCCAAGCACAATGCCTGGCACATAGTATGAACTCATTGAATATTAGTATAATTACCTCAGGCTGAACTTAATTATTTCCATTTAAAACATGATGTTTAATCTTCAGAATGACTCTGAGGAGTGGTAGAAGTGAGGATAAAACTTGGTAACACTGGAAAAAATTATGAATAATACTCTTCAAGTTTGGAGACTCTTGTAGGCCTCTTATATCCTTTGAGAATAATGAGGGCCAGTACAGTGACATCATGAATATCTTGTAAACTATCTTGCATATTCACAGTTTCATTTTCATTTATGTTTCATTTTTTCACTTGACCTGTGTAGCAGTGTTGTGAAATTGACCAAGAGGTTCTGATTCCCATTTTGTAAGGCAGGAAACAATGTCAGAGAGCTTAAGACATACACACTAAATCAACGGTAGAGCCTGAACTTTAGTCCAACACACTTTCCTTTACTCTTGTTAAACACTTTAAGAAGTTCCTTTTTTAGGGATGCCTGTTGTAATTCATATTGGACTAGGGAGATGGTTTGAAGAAAGAAGAAAAGCTATTTATATACATATCAAATTGTATATCCCAGTAAATAAGATAAATCTTTTCTGGGATGTCAGTGAATATGTAAAACCATTGAGCTGCAAGGCTAGCCTGAAGGTGGAGCAGATTTCGATGAAGAGGGCACTTGGGGCAAAATGAGGACTTGTGCGGATTCCTGGACTGCCTTGGGACCCAGAACTATGTTTCAGGAATTCTCTTGGCTCTTTCAGAGTACAATTACTTTAGACCATAACATGTCAGGAACACTGGGCTGTGCTGAATTTGAAAGATACCAACATGTTGGCCCATATTTTACCTTGCTTAAGTCCTTAACGTATTTGATGAGATTTTGCTGTTGATTTGTTTGAGGTAGTGGTAGTAATGGTAATAGTTATAGTTGTAGTAAAAGAAGAACAAATATTCATTGAGCAGTTACTATGTACCAAGCATAGTTGTAAACATTGCCTGTGTTTAGATTATTCTCTAATATTTATAGTTAACAGTGTATATGGTGCCCACTTTACAGATGAGGAAATTGAGGCACAGAAGTTTAAAGACCACATAACCAGTTGAATAATGGAGCCAACACTGACCCCAGGGTGTTTGTTTCCAGAGCCTGGTGTCTTGAGCACCTTACTGTTACAGCAGCACACACAAGTGATGTGTATACACTAACACCTGGGACCTGCTGGACAGGCTGGCCAGCAGGAGAGAAACAGAGATAGCTCTTATCAGCTCCTCAGAGGTCACTGGTAAGTGACCATGAACTGAACACTGGTGCTGAACAGTTACTTCTTCCCAGAGCACTCCCTTTTCTGTCAGTGCATCTGTCATCTTCCTGTATACTCTGGCAATAATTCTGTGGTACTTGACTACAGGCTTTCTCTTCCTTGCCCCAACATATCCAGAAAATCAGCAAGAGCATATTTACTTTTGCTTTTCTCTTCTGCCTATGTAACAAGTCACCAGATCCCACTAATTCTTCCCCTTTTGTCTCTTGCATTAGCTGCTTGTTCTCCATGACTCTTTTCCTCACCCCAGTTAGGCTATCCTTTCTAGGGTCAGTGTACAGCGGCATGGTTCCCCAATTTTCATATATCCACTTCTAGTATCAGACCATTTTTTTCTGATTGTTTTGTTCAAGAAAGCATGAAGAACATTTTACTAACTAATGCAGGGGTCTGGCAACCTTCACCAGCTGGCATCCATGTCCTTTCCTTCTCTCCCACTCCATTTCCCTCTCAGTTCTTGTAGGCACAGTCTTGAAAATTGTTTTCTGCACCTTTCCCACCCTTAAAAATCCCCTTTTGCCCTTACTTTTACAATTCAGTGTTGGCATTATACCACAGAGTCCAAAAGCTGGAAGGTACCTCAGAGTTCTACTACACTCTCTCTCCTAGTGCAGATAGACCGTCTACCTCTGATTTTAAAGGGAATTCACTATCTTTTGTATCTCTAGTTATGAGAACTGTCTTTCTTATTTCATTATATTGAAATAAAATATGCCACCACATAACTTACTCCCCATTTTCTTCGTAGACTTCATGTCCTCCCTTTATATGCCAGTGAATTTGGCCATGGTCAAGAACTCTACACATTGCCTCCTGATTTCCCCTTTTTACGGCTTTTCAAGCAGCTCATTGGCTCATGAT